TTTCATTTAATTAAAAATTATCAGCTGTACATAGTGCTATTTTTGACACAGGTCACTGTGGTTCAATGCTATTGGATTTTACCTTATTAAGCACTTAGCTGTTTGCTGGAATGATTGAGGGGCAGAGGTGTGTATTCAGAGAGGTTGCAGAGTTAGCCCTTAGACCTTTGGTAACAATGAATAGTTTATGTTCAAAAGTACCTTTCCTGAAAACTTTATGTTATGGCTACCCGTCCCATCTTTTCTAGTGACAATGATGAAATGTGTTGAAACACTGATAGATATCAACAGAAGTGCTGATATATGTTGACATACATAAGTGTTGGTAAGCAACTCTACAACTACAGCAAATAAGAAAACCATTCTTCTATCAGAGACTAGGGCAAACCTAAGCTGTATGATTTGGGATATTACAGTGAAGCTTAGTTTTATCAGCCAGTTTTGTTTGTATGTTCTGAAAGTCATCACAGTTGAGAAACTTCTTATGGAATTCAATCTGCTCAAGCAGCCTGAATGATTGTTTTGCCCATAATAACGTTATTTTTTAATAAAGAAATTTTACTGGCATCTAGAAGTTAAAGATCCTGTTATTTTGCCCATATTACAGACAGCACATTTAAAAACTGTTCATGAAAAAGCATCAACTAGTGTATTAGGGTTCTCCGGAAAAAAACAGAACCAATAGGAAGCATAAAGTTACATGTATATGTGCGTGTGTGTGTATATATATGTATGCCTGTATGTGTATATCTCTCTATATACACATATACATATGTGTGTATATATATATATATACATAAAAACATGCATGGGTATGTATGTACACATACACACAAACATATATGTTGAGCATCCTTAATCTTAAAATCTGTAATCCAAAATGTTCTGAAATTCAAAAATGTTGAGCACTGACATGACACCACAAGTGGATAATTCCACACCTGAACTCATGTGACAGGTTGCATTCAAAACATAGGTGTACAACACAGCTGACTCAGCACGTTGAAGGGGAAAAAGACCCTCTGAGCCTCCTTCAGCTGTGACATAGCTTTTCCTTGCATGCCCAGATTCTTCCACACAAGCATGTCCACAAAGGGTGCACACCTGATATGTCAATGGCAGGTTCTCCATGATGCCCCACATGAAACCAAGACCTATGCCTGTCACTCATTGTTTATTTACTTATTTATTTTTTCTAATTTTCTGTTCTGTGATGCAAAGATATTGTCAAAAATGTCAAAAAAAAACCTCCTGCAGACTTATCATTTGATTGAGTTTATGATTTAAAAAAAAGAGAAACAAAAACAAACAAAACCCCACAGATACCCCTATGGATAACAGTGATATGAAAAAGAAAAAAAACATTTATACTTATCTACAGCACAGAAATTCAAGCTGTTGGAGAAACTGGACAGTGGTATAAGTGTGAAATGTCTTACAGAAGAGCACAGTGTTGGAATGACCAGCATATACAATTTGAAGAAACATAAGGAAAACTTGTGAAGTTCTGTGAAAAGTTAATTAAAAAATAGAAAATATTGCATAAGGCTTAAAATGAAAATCTCAATCATGTATTGAAAGAGTGAATTCATTAGCATCACAGTAAACACGTGCCAATAAATTGTATGGTGATCATGAAATGAACAGGTCTATCATGATCTGAAAATTGAGGGAATTCAATATTCAACCAGCTGGCAGCATAAATTTAAGAAAAGATATAGCATTACATTTTAAAAGATCAGTGGTGATAAAACAGCTGCTGATTATGAAGCAGCAGAGAACTTCATTGACAAGTTTGCCAAGGTCATCACCGATAAAAATCTGACACTAGGACAAGTCTGTAACAATGATGCAACATCACCGTTTCAGTGTTAGTGGCCCAGAAAGACACTGACTACAGCCAATCAGACAGCTCCTACAGTAATTGAGGATGCCAAAGAGAATAACTGTGCCGAGCTGTGCTAATGCAGCAGGCATGCATAAGTGTAAATTTGCTGTGATACGCAAAAGCTTGCATCCTCCTTGTTTCAAGGAGCAACTTTTTATACCAGTCCATTATGATGCTAACAAAAACACCTGGATCACCAGGGATGTCTCTTCTGATTGGTTTCACAAACATTTTGTATCAGTGGCTTGTGCTCACCACAGGGAAGTTGGATTGAATGACTACTGCAAGATTGTGTTATTCCTTGACAGCTGTTCTGCTCATCCTGCAGCTGAAATTCCCATAAAAATAATGTCTATCTCATGTACTTTCCCCTAAATATGACTGCAATGGTTTTGGCTCTGTGTCCCCCTCCAAATCACCTGTCAAACTATAATCCCCACATGTTGAAGGAGGAGCCTGGTGGGAGAGAATTGAATCACTGCGCTTCCTTCTTGCTGTTATCATGATAGAGTTCTCATGAGATCTGGTTGTTCAAAAGTGTGCAGCATTTCTCCCTTCACTCTCTCTCTCCCCTGCTCCAACATGAAAAGTAATGCTTCTCCTCCACCTTCCACCATAGTTATAAGTTTCCAGAGTCCTCCCCAGCTGTGCTTCCTGTACAGCCAGTGGAAGTCTGAGTCAATTAAACCTCTTTTCTTTTTTTCTATCAGGCTGAAGAGTGGAGTGAATTCTGAGCTAACTCCATGGGATAATGTTTGTACCTTACTCATGCAGTGAAAAATCAGTGAGTCTGTATGCTTTCTTTGCCACTTAAGCTCTAAGTTGCCAGAGAAGCATGAGAAAGAGGTCTATTTGTCTGTTCTCACACTGATATACAGAACAACGTGTGACTAGGTAGTTTATAAAGAAAAGAGGTTTAATTGACTCACAGTTCTTCAGGCCATACAAGAAACATAGCTGGGAGGCCTCAAGAAACATATAACCATGGTGAAAGTTGAAGGTGAAGTAAGCATGTCTTCACATGGCAGCAGGAGAGAGAGTGATGGTGGAGCTGCTACACACTTTTAACTAACCAGATCTCATGAGAACTCTATTACAAGAACAGCAAGGGCAAAGTCCACCCCCATGATTCAATCACCTCCTACCTTCCTGACACATGGGGATTACAATTTAACATGAGATTTGGGTGGGGACACAGAGCCAAACCATATCAAGGGGGTAGACATAACCTACTGTTGAAAGCTGCACAGGCATTAAGCCCTTCTTTTCCATGAGACGTGTTATTATGCTTTTAATAAATGAGTATGTCTGTAGTCTGTGTGATTTAAAAAATAGTATATCAAAAGGAAGTGATGTCAAATTATAACATTTCAAAATCAGGTAAGGCAGGAACTTAAGACTTTTTTTTGGAAGGTCTACGAAAGTCACCTAAGTACATTTTAAACACTATTTCCTCCATTCTTCAGAGGTTTTCATTTCAGGAAAGCATAACCAGAGTCATCCTAATGTGATTATAAAGAGCCTGAAGCTTTGCTTTTAAAATTCAATACTTAGGTAGAAAGAAAATGATAACTTTTTCCCTTTGATTTTTATGCACTATTTTTATAACACTAGCAGCCCTGAGACACCACATTGGAAATGTCTATGCATCTTGATGTTACCTGGGCACCACTGCATCACAGTCCTTTAACTGGGTCGGTTTTCATCTGTTCCTTGATCTGCATGCTCCTCCACTAAACGACATCATTTCTATATGCTTTAGAGTTATTCTCAGTTTTCTGGATGCTACATTTACTTGTTCATTGATTCAATAAATATTACCTACTGTGTGCCAGGCCCAGATAGAGATCCTGCACTCATGGAAATCCTGGTCAAAAAGGCCAAGAATATGCAATTATAAATACTGATATGTTCTGTGATGGAAAGGCATTAAGTGGAGGGCCATAAGGTAAGGAATCTTACCTGTGCGTGGATTCAGAGTTTTCCTAGGTTATGATGTTGGAGGAGTTGTGATTGATGAGCCTAGGTTGATTAACTGAGGAGCATAGGAAAAGGTATCGGGAAAAGTTTAGCAGATAGAAAGAATGGCATAAGCAGCGACTCAGAGACTGTGTGGTGCTGAAATCAGATATGGATTCAACTTAAACCAACTGTACTCCAATGTACTCACGCATAAGGTGAAAGTTTGTTCAGACAGTACGGGATCCAAGTCTGCTTTTCCTGTCCTGTTCTTTTGTGTAGCCATCCTCTTTTGGTTCATGACTCAGAACACATAAAGAGCAGATGAAGGGAGGTAGACGGTAGAGATTCTGGATTTTATTGCAATATTAACAACTTCAAGCTCTCAGTGCTTGGGCCAATCAAGGTTTATCTATTGCTCAAGTTTTACGTCCACCTTGGGTAGGCAGAAAGGGAGCTTTCATTCTTTATTGGTACTCAGTGATTCTGGCTGGCAGAGGCTTTACTGTTACGGAAAAGAGCACATGTCAAGTTATTAACCAGCTCTGAGAACTTCTCTCTAGAAGTGCTGCACCTTTCACTAGTCAAAGCAAGTCAAGGGCAATGCTTAACCCCAAACTACAGCAGGGTGGAGCAAGCCAAACATGAGCCTGGTAAGTAGAAAGCTAGAAATATTTGGTGAGTGCTAGTCGGAATATTCAGGTTCCCCTAAAATTCGCATGTTGACCCCTAGTCACCCATCTGATGGTATCAGGAAGTGGGGTCTGTTGGGAGATGATTAGAATGGGATTATCACCCCTGTAAAACAGGCCTCACAAAACTACCTTATCCCTGTTCCACCAAGTGAGGAGAAGCCACCATCTATAAGAAAGAGGAACCTCCCCAGATAGCAAATCTGCCCATGTCTTGATCTTGGACTTTCCAGTTTGAGGAACTGCAAGAAGTAAATTTCTGTTATTTATAAGCAACCAGTCTATGTTGTTTTGTTATAGCAGCCCGAATGGACTAAGACCGTGAGCAACCGTAGTGATCACCATAGAGATGAACCTTTATCAGCTATGTCAGTCTATGGAAAGAGCACATTACTGGTGCTTTCACTGCAACTAACTTGTTTCTAAGCTTCCCTTAATTCCAACAATTTGTCATTGCACAGTTGAATGCGTGTGGATGGTGACACTGCAGTGGAGTCAGCGTGCAGAAGAGGAAGGTGGAAGGTGTTTACTAAGAGGTGGTGTAGTGGATAAAATTCTGCTTCCAGTCTTCGAGTTTTTCATCTCCTTTCTGGAAGAAGGAAAAGGGTAATAGGTCCTTAATATTATTTTCTAATTGTCTGTTGAATTTTTAATTGAATCTATCTTTATTTAGTTTTCAAGAGCTCCTGATTCTTTAGTGTACTGGTCTTATTTTATGAACACAATATAGTCTTTTATTTCTCTCAATATGTTAATTACAGTGTTTCTTTCATGTGCTTATTTTTCCACCACTTTGTTTTTACCACTCTTTTTTTCTTTATTTGATTCTATTTTGTTTTGCTCTGTCTCTATCTTCCATACTAGAGACTTTCATTAAATATCAGGCCTTCTTTAGCTGTCATATATATTTAAAAGTGAGGCTCAGAAAAACCCCATTTGGAAGCATGAGTGTGGTTTATTAATTTGTGAATTTCACTGTACGTATGCTAGTGTGGTATCATATTTTTAGTTGGGGAAATATTCAAATACCTGTGTCTCTAGTTCAGAAGTTCTTAAACTTTTTCGTGTCATGGCAGCCTGATAACGTCTAGAATTCTGTTTTAAAATTATGTCTTTAAATGCATGAAACCAGTTAGATGATAATCTGGTTATCAAACTATTAAACCATTAAATTTGTGATATAGTGATATGTGCTTTTATTAATGCACCGTCTAATACACTTTAAATTTGTATCTAATAACTATGGTAATTTTGAAACAGTGATGAGTGAAAATGCAATTTGGAGAACATGATAAGAAAACAATTGTGATTTTTATTGGTCACAAAGTCACAGGTACTGATTACACTACGATGGTTTACTGCCTATATTCAGAGATGACAGAAATGCTAACTTTCAGAGGTTACTTTAAAATAAAAATAAATTATTGTCCTCATTAAAGTTCACAGATCCACTGGTTAAAAATTCCTGCTGTAAGGATTTACCTCTGGATGAATGGATTTCTCTAGAAAGCAATTCACCCATCTCCAACCTTAAGTATGTAACTGACTAGGAGCCTTTCACGAGCCAAGTAGGGGACACATCTCTCTTCAGTGGGAAGATTTTCCCACAATCCCTCTGATTTCAGCACAGTAACTCACACTCTGACCTCAAATATATTTATTTGCTGTCTTCCAAATTCAAAGACTTTCTGATAAAACCTCTCCAAAAATAGACCCTTGGTTTCCTCTTGATGCATTAGGGAGAGTCAAACTCCTATTTGAAAGCTCTTTAATCCATATTTCAGTTTTCGTTCCCATTTTTGCACACCTGCCTTTAAAGCAGCAGTTGTTTCCAATCCCTGAGGATTTCTGTAGCTTTGTGTTGAAATGATTAGCTTTTTGGCATTCTGCCTCAGCATACTGAGATCTCTGTGTTCTCTAGTCTAAAACAGCTCCCAGTGGTTAAACTATTTCCCAGATTTCAAAATGTTGCTTCTTTTGTCTGGCATCTTCTTTTTGTCCTTGTGAGGTATTTTTTTTCCCTAAGTTCCTTTTCTGTCATTGCTTTGTGAAGACTCAGGAGGAAGTACAGATAGACATTTGTATTCAACCTATGTTATTTAACCAGAAGCCTTAATGCATTCATAAGTAGCATTTAAATATGTTTGGGTTCATATTTTTCCCTCTCATAATAGTATATCTCCTTTTCTCTGATTTAACATAAAAGTAAGAGGAAATACAAGGTTGATGTGCAATGTCACTTTAAGGTAGCATCTTTTTTGTGTTTTAAGGAAATCATTTCTTAAAATAACTTTTCCCAGACTCTAGAGTCTAGATGATTTTAGCCTTTCTGTATAGATATTAGACTATGAATTCTTCAAAAGGATGTACATACCTTCTTTTTTGGTAGAATGGTAGAAGTGCAATAGCTTTCATTAGTACAACGCTACCAAAGATCACAACTGCAAGCTCTTAAGAAAATATAAAAACTCCCTGAAATCCCTGGAAAGAAACCCAAAGCCAGCATAAATTGAAAGTGAATCAAAAGTGGGAAGAAGGAACTGGAGCTGAGTGAGTGTTCCATTGATAGAGCTTTTTGGCTAAAGGCATGCCCCAATCAGAAAAAGCAAGTTAGCTAAATCCTGAACAGAAACTCTTGCAGTGCACTGGTTTTAAGAACCAGAGGAAAGAGTTTGGAACTACGATAGCAGATGGAAAGTGAGAGGGGAAATCAGGGAAAGGAGAAACTACACAGGGCAGAGCATCATATTTTGCACATAAACTCTGCAGAAAATCTTAGGATGACCTCTACACTATACATGCCTGGGGCATACTCCCAGCAGCCCATCTAAGGCTAAAAAAGAACTTAACAAAGACTTTAGAAGTTACCCACTGCAGGAGTGACACAAAATGGATTTGAGTCCATCTAAATTAACTACAAATAAAACAGACAAATAAAATCAGAGAAATAACAGAATCCAGTCTCTGCAGTGTATTTTTTAAAAAATGTCCAGGGTGTAATCCCACATTACTCCATACATAATCAAGAGGAAAGGCAGTTAAAGAAACCGATCCTGAAATGAACCAGATGTTAGAATTGGCTAGCAAGGATTTTAATGTAGCTATTATAACTGTGCTCAAGGGTATAAAGTAAAATATTTTTGTGATGAATGAATATACAGAAAATCTCATCAGAGAGATTGCACCTATGAAAAAGAACCAAATGGAAATTCTAGAAATGAGGAATAAAATATCTGAAACAAAATAAAGTTCATTTGTATGGGCTTATCAAGATGTTAGGGTGAAAGAAGAGTCAGTGACTTGGAAGACAATCAAAGCTGTACAATCTAGAGAACAGAGAAAAAATATTTTAAAAACTAGAATCTCAGTGACTATGGGGATATATCAAAATCTAATGCATGTGGAGTTTTAGAAGGAGATGAGAGGCAGGAACAGGTAAAACCCAACGTCTGAAGAAAGAATGTATAAAAATTACCCCATTTGACAGACTCAAAAACCTCAGGTATCCTGTGTAGTATAAAGAGAGAAAAGACACCTTGAAAATATCACAATTCAATTGATAAAAACAAAAAATAAAGAGAGTCTTGAAAGCATCCAGAGAAAAAAGACAGATTACATATATAAGAACAAAAATACAAATCACCACTGATATCGCAGCAGAAACAATGTGGCCGGAAAACAGTGTAATGACATCTTTAAAAGTGCCAAATGAAAGCAACACACTGTAACCTAAAATTCTGTGTGAAGCAAAAATAACTTTCAGAAATGAAGATGACACAAAGGCATTTCAGATGAACAAAAACCTTGGTAACTCTTCTCAGGTGGACTTGCCCTATGAGAAAATCTAACAGATGTTCTTCATGCAATAGGGGAATGAGATCAGATAAAATTTCAGATTTTAATTGCCTTAAAGTAGTTATGATTGTTTAAAATGAAAATAATAGTATGCATAGTATATTACACAATAAACATGAAAATACCTAATAAATTACAGGAGGTAAAAGATCTATAAGATCGCAGTTATTACATTATATGAGAAGGAGTACTTAACTTTCAGTAGAGAAATTAAGGGTGCATATTGCAATCTTTAGGGCACCACTGAAATAACAAAACAAAGTGGTAAGCTAAAAAGCCAAGAGAAACATTAAAATGGAATTCTAAAAGTAATTTCAATTAACTCAAAAGTAGCAGGAGAGAAGCATGAAGGAAACACAAAACAAGTGAGACAAACAGAAAAGGTAAGAGTAAGCTGAAAGCCCCAAATCCCTCCACGTCAATAGGAAACGAGGCAGAGACTGTCAGAATTACTTAAAAAGCATGAACTACTTGTTGTCTACATGAAAGATACTTTGAATACAAAGATTCAAGTAGATGCCCTCCAAATACAGAGACTCTCTTAAAGGCAGGGAAGATATACTATTATACCATGCAACATAAGCAGCATAAGAAATAAGAAGGTGGGCGGGGGGATAGATGGGGGTGGGAGACCAAGAGAGATAGAGATTTTCCCAGGAATGCAAGCATATTTTAAATTTTGAAAATTAATCAATATATTTAACCTTACAAGAGAGCTAAACATGCAGTCATTTCAATAGATGCAAAAAGTGTTTGATTAAATTCAAATTCCATTCATTACAGTATCAGCAAATGAGGTACAGAAGAAATTTCCTCAATCCAATAAAGGGAATCAATGAAAAACATTATAATTGTTGTCATACTTAATTGTTTTTTTCCTATGTTCCCGAACAAGGCAAAGATATCTACTTCAACAAGTTCTATTCAGTATTTCTAGGGAAATAAAGTAAAAACAAAAAAGAATGAAAAGGCATACAGATCAGAAAGAAGTAAAACTCTCTATTTGCAGATAACATTTTTTACATAGAAAATCCTAATCAACGTATACAATAACTACTAGAATTACAAAGTGAATTTAGTAACGTCATATATACAATCAATACACTAACACCAATTGTATTTTCATACTCTACAGCAGCAAACAACTAGTAAACAAAATTAATAACAATTCCATGTAGTAGAGTGTTGAGAAACAAATTACTATTTAGGAATACATTTAACAAAGGTAAGGACTGAATGGCATGTACCTTCATTTTCACAGTGTTTAGCACAATGCCTAAAAAATGATATATTCAACATAATTTTTTGAAAAGTTAAAGAATGTTTGTCTGCTCTAAAAAGATTCAAGTTAAAGTCTTTAAAATTCCTCAGCAAACTAACATGGGAACAGAAAACCAAACACTGAATGTTCTCACTTATAAGTTGGAGCTGAACGAGAACACAGGGACCCAGGGAGGGGGACAACACACCCTGGGGCTTGTTGGGGGATTGGTGGTGTCATTTATTATTGGCTAATAAAAGTATTAGCAAAAAATTGCTAATATTTTTTCCTGTTAGCAATAGGAAAAATAGCTAATGCATGCTGGGCTTAATACCTAAGTGGTGGGTTGACAGGTGCAGCAAACCACCATGGCACATGCTTACCTATGTAACAAACCTGCATACATACCCCAGAACTTAAAAATAAAAATTAAAAAGAACTTATGATATTCAATTCAGTGGAGAAAGAGACGGTCAAATAGTCTTTTTCA